TGACTTACCCTATAATGATTAATCAACTAACCACATGAAGGGTATGTGTGAAGATGACCTGGTATCATGAAGTATCTTACTAGTTTGTGTTGGCTTCAAAATCACTATCTTTAAGTTAGCCTCATCTATAAGATAAATCCACCATGTGTGACTAAGCACAGACACTCAGCTCCGTGTTGTAACAAACATCTAATGTCCAAGGAAGACTGTGTGCTGCTCACCAGATGTGTGGTCTTGAATAGGTTACTTCACCGCTTTGAGCTTAAACTTTTGGGTTTTGGGATGGAATTCCATGAAGCCTGCAGTTCACCACTAATGTGTGGAAACTTTCTGCTAAGAATGATGTTGCCATTTACAGGAACATGGATGCAACTGGAGATCATCATGTTAAGAAACATAATCTAGACTCAGAGAGATAAATAGCATGGTTTACTCTCATATGCAAGATCTAGATTTTAAAATGCAACCTAAGACACGAGAGTGGAAGGGACACTGAGTGGAGGAGATATTCTAGAGAAAGGGGAGTGAACATGAGAGGGTAATATAGGATGGAATACGAGCAAAGTACACAGCACACACATGTGAACATGTGATAACAAATCCGTTGTTTTATATGCCAATTAGGAAAGGTTAGATATTCTTATAGTCCTTTTTTTATATGTTTTAATTGTATGCGTATGGGTGTTTTTGCCAGCATGTATATCTATGTACCATATTAGCTTGTCTATTAGAGTCATCCTTGTTCAGACAACATGTGGATAAGAATTCATGGGTGGGCTTCTCTTGACATTTCTTGGAGACACAATCTCACAGCAAACTCCAGACTCTTTCAATCTTTCTGCTCCCTCTTCTTATGTGATTCCCCAAGCCTTAGGTGCAGGTTTTGCTGTAAATGTATCAGTTGGGACTAAGCACCACACACTCACTTACTTTCTGCATTTTGATCAATTATGGTTTTCTGCAGCGGTCTCTATCTATTATAAGAAATTGTTTTTTGTTTTGTTTTGCTTTTCATTTTTTGGGGTTTTTTTTGATAAGGTATACAATGTATGCTTACACGTGGTTATAAGGATAAATATTTGGGAAGTACTTAGGAATCATGATGGTTTAGTAAATTTGTGGTTGTAGGTTCTTTTCCAAGGTCCCATGACTTCTATAGCCCTGGGTAGTTGGCTAAGTTTCCAGTATCAGGCATAATTTCTCTCTTGTTCTGTTGGCCTTCAGTTCAATTGGAGAGCTGTTGGTTACTACCAAGACATACATGCCACAGCCACATCCTTACTTATGTTATGCATGCTGGTTATTTACAGGCATCACAGTTGGGCATGACTACAGGTTGGTTCCCTCCCTGGGAAACATGCATGACACCTTTTGGTGCAATGAAAGCTAGTCCTCAGGGAGGTTTTGTGAAGTATTAATGGAAGACTGAATTTTTGTTCTTTTTCTTAGCACAATTTTATGACAGAAGCAGTTTCTCTAAAGATGAAGGAAGGGACTTAAATATTCTATAAATATATTTAATCACTTTAATAAGTCACTGAAACATAATTTTAACATAGTATTATTATAGATATTTTTCATTAATTTAAGAATTCTATGAAAAACCCAAACTAATAACATCCATGTTAAAGGCTGATTTGTTTTTCTTTACTGGTTGTTAGAAGTGCCAAATTCAGGCTTATGTACCTGACACACCTTGAAAGAATGTCCAGATACTGGCACATTTAAACCAGCAGCAGAAGGACCGTGAAACACTCAGAAGTGGCTGCAGCGTGTCCACCATGGTAGGACACTTCTGCTTATTTTGATTGGGGTTTTCTCCCTGGCACTTAGCACAGTGTGTGACAATAATAGGTACTCAGCAAATATCTGCAGCAATCAGTGATAGAATCAGTCTTTGGTGAATAGAAAATGGAGCCAATTGGCCCTCATCAGGTTGATTTTTGTCATTTCAATCTGCTCTCCTTGACACTACCAAGAACAAGAAATCTTTAGAGAGGCTTTTGTTCATTGTGCTTAAGGTATGGCTGTCATAGTTTTTCCAAGGGAGTGAGGGAGCTTTTATGCTATGTGTATTAGTTACTTTGCCCATTTTGGTGACAAAATATTTGGCAACTTAAAGGAGGAATGACTTTGTTCATGGACGGAGGGTCTGTCATGGCAGGGAAGGCATGGTGGTGGGGACTATCCATGGCTATTGCAGAAGAGCATGGAATTGCTTGTTGCCATCTTGGCAGACCAGGAGGGAGACAGAAGAACAGAAGCAAAACCAGGCTATAAGTCAATAGGCAGATCCCCAATTTCTCCAGCTAAGCTCCACCTTCTAAAGGATCTACAACCTTCCAAAACAGAGCCTCCCACTGGGACCACATGTTCCAACACAAGGGCCTGGGGAGTCACCTTCAAATCACAACACTATGTCATGTGGGCATGTGGAGCAAGGCAGGAGTTGTCCTACTATCTCCAAACTGATTACACCCACTTAGACTGTGACACTCGGTAACTGTAACCACATTGAAGAATTAGAGCTGCAGTAGGCCCAAAGTCAGAGAGGGCTAGCGGGGTCTTGGAATATAATAAATGGCTGAGAAACTAGAAAATGACCAGATAGATTGGAAGGCCCTGCAGGGGCCCTCTTTTAATATTTGAAGAGGTTCTACAGAACTCTTCTGGCTTTCTTTTGTTTTCTCAAATAGCAAAGTCAGATAACAGACACCATGACAGAGGCAGTGCCTGGGCCATCTGACCCCTCATCACATGCGTTTTCCCTGGAGTAAAAGGTGGCTGTTCAGGAAAGCTGTTGGTGAGGAGGTAAGAGTTAGAGTTGGATTAGGAGCCCCCCAAGCTGCCTTTTAGCACAGCATGTCAGAGACCAAGAATCCACCTTGAGGGAGACAGACCTGTGTTTGCATCCTGGCTTTGTGCTTTATTAGCTGTGTAATCATGTGCAAATTCTCTTAGCTTCAGTTTCCCCATTCATAAAGTGGAGATGATAGTAGTGCACACCTCCTAAGGCTGCTGTAAGGATCAAAGGAGGGACAGATACATTTAAATTGTTTACTATGGGCTTCATGAATAATAAACACTCAGGGAACACATCAATGAAAAGCAATGTGCCAAGTCTACATGTCATTTCTCAGTGGTGCCCAATAACCAAGATTTCCATCTCAAATGGTCAAAGTGCATGCCTGTAGGAGTGCACGGATTGCTTCTGAGGGCAGGGAAGTCGGGGTTTGTTTTCAAAATAGCTGCTTCCCCGAATGACGCTCAAGTATGTACATAACCCTTGAGTCCTCACAGTGGACTCCAGACTTTGGCTTTGTTTAGGGGTCAGGGTGGAATGGAGACAGGAAGAGCAGCTGAGACACCCTGGCCAAGAGCTGGAAGCCAGGCTGGGGAGAGCAGGGAAATGGGCCTGTGAGTCACAGCCTGGAAGGCCCCAGTGGCGATGTCCCTCAGATTCAGAATCCTCAGACAGGGGGACATTTCCTGCTCTTTGCACACTGCCTCCACCCAAGAGTTTCTTAAAGCAAGCTTTTTGGCGAACTGCTATAATCCAAGGGAAGGAGTATGTTCAGTGACTGCTAAGGCTGGGGAACTCCCAAACCTTGAGAAAATATGTGTGAGGTGAGCTGGTTTACCCGTCAACATGGCAAAAAGAGCTGGCAACATCGACTCATTTCCTTCTGGGTAGAAAAAGCCAAAGCTACCTTCTTGCAACACAAGGGCTACCAGAGTCCTTCCACAGAGCCCCTGGAAAGGCAAAGACTTCACCTGCATTTGGTTCAAGGTGCCCCTATTCAACTGCTTGGAGTTTCATATGGAAGCTCCATGTTGCATGAAGGTGGCTTAGGAGGAGCTGGCCACTTGGGGGAGAGCTGATGTGTGGTCCCCTTGGTCCAGACCCTCTGCCTCTGACAGGTTTATGGAGGACAGAAGGCAGGAGAGTATCTCCCCCTCTTGGCTGTGACCTCTTTCCCTCATTTCAGGTTGGGACCCTGTTTAGGCCCTCTGTCTGGAGACTGATTAGGTCCCAGGAGGCTTTCCTGGGGTCATTGGGAACCTGGCCAGGCCTTGAAACATATGGCACTGATAACAATCTCACTCCCCAAGATAAGAAGCCATTTCAGGGACTCTGAGGAAGCCAGGGTTTGTTTCTATAAAGCTGGACAATGTAAAGTGTAATCCCTACACAGATGTAATTAGCTGTTAAGCATATTAAGTCGTGAGGAAGGGGTGTTCTGCTGCCTCATAAATTACCGTGAGTCTGCCCAGGGGCACCGAGTGGAGGGCAGGTATCTTTTCCTGCTTGATTGTTACAGTGGCACCTGATGATGGATTAGGCAGCTGATCTTGCAGTTTTCCAGCAAACACCGAGCTCTCAAGGAAGCAGGGACTGGGGGAGCGTGTTTGGGCCTTTTGTTTCCATAGTGAGAGAGGCTTTGGCAGGTTATACTGTGCCAAAATATGGCAAGGGGGCTCAGTGTCTTTTCTGTGGACTTCAGGTTTGGTATTATGATGTGGGTTTCCTGGGAGGGCCAGGTGATCCTGGTAAAGGATGCTTCCCCTCTAGAACTGCCAAGTGGGTGATAAGTAAGCCAGTGAAAGGTGTAGCTTCACAAGCCAATTAAAGTCTGCCAGAAGGAAGGATACCCTATGGCCCTCCCTCATCTCACATGCTAATGGTGCTTTGAAATGACTCCCATTACTTTTATATAAATAACAACTATGAAAACATTCAGTATTGTTAGGAGCTTACTCTGTTCTAGGAATAGAAGTAAGTAACCAGGGAGGGCTCGGTACTGAGTGCTAAAGGGTCATACATCTGATCTTTGACATAATAACTCTATAAGCTTGGTAATTGCCAACGTACAGATAGGGACACAGAGGTTTAGACAGGTTAATTATCCATCCAATTTAGAGTTTCTAGGTGTTGGATCCAGGTTTAGACTCTAGATGCCCATTCTAGAATTTATGCTCATAAAACTGTGGAACTCTTATTGGTCACATCTCCGGTTCTTCAGGCTCACGCTAGTATCGAGATCAACAAGAATCAACTGGGAAGACAATTCGGAAGAGATTTCAAGAAATAATCTATTTACTTTCTCTCGCTTGATCTTTTAAAACTCAGGGGACCTATTTTTTGTTTTGTATATATCAATGGTAAGTAGCTTGGGAACCTTAAAATCATTTATTGTTATTGCATGTGTGTGTATTAGTGTTTGGCCTGCATGTATAGTTGCGCATCATGTACAGACAATCCCCAAGGAGGCCAGAGAGGATGTCTGATCCTGTGGAACTGCAGTCACAGATGTTCGCTAGCCACTATGAGGCTACTGTGAACCAAACCCGGAGCAACAAGTGTCCTTCACCACTGAGCCATCTCTCCAACCCTGCTTGGGAACTTTTTGAGACAGCCGCAGAACAGAACTGGTGGTAGGAAGTGCCTGTAATCCCATCTTTGGATTTATTTTGTAAAGTACGCTCCCCCCTTTCTCTGACCAGGTCAGGATAGTACATGTCTATGTTTTAATAAACTGATGGCATCACTGTGACTTTTTCATGCATGTATATAACAAAGTCTAATGATATCTGCATTCCCCTCTCGCTCCCAACCTCCCTTACCAACAGGTATAACGGGATGATAGAGGGACGGCTACAAGTGGAGGCTGGAGGGGTTTGAGTCACATCTTTTGACGGCTCCTGCTTTGGCGTGAGCCAGTGCGTCCTTCAGGAGAAAGGTTGAGAAGTCAAGATTGCACGTTTCCGGGTGGACTGTTTTACTAGCTTTGCTCCCGCTGACATTTTCCTTCTCTCCTGGGCCCCTTCCGGCATCCTCTGATCAGAAATGTGAACCCTAAAAACGACCACTCTTCACATCCAGCTCGCATGTACTGCAGATGAAAACTGGGACGGCATAGCCGTCTGGGACGTCTAGCCATTGGCGCGGGACAGAAAACTGGAGAACTTGAGTCATTCTAAGAAGCAGCTTTAACGATTTCTCTCAAATGATGAGAGATTCTCCCACTGGATAATAAAAATTCCTGCCAGGCTCCTGCTAGCCTCTGAAACCTGCTGAGGTTGTCAACCCATGAGAACTAAGCTTTTTACTAAAGGTACAGTATGGCCATCTTGATCTCACACATAGGATGATGAAATTGATGTTGTCGATGGAGGACACTAAGAAAACAAGAAGCCAGCAGAAACCAGGCAGGAATGAGGCCTGTGGTGCCCAACTCAGCCAGGCTATGCTGGAGGAAGGCAGCTAGCTCCATATCTTATCAATTGTCATTTTTGTGTGATTTAAGACAGCCCAGTGTTAAAATTTTGAAAACGTTTGTGTGGGAGTGAGACAGGCCTGGACAGAAGTCTAAATGCCATGGCACTCATTTTCAGAGCCCTCAAGAGACAATGTCCCTGTAGAAGCTGTGTGGAGCACTTACGGGTAGCTCGCCACTCAGCATAATAAAGTCCTGAAGTGATTGTTACATTTTCTGATAAAGGCTCCCACTTGCCTACTGGCAGAAGCTGATGAACATTACAGTGGAGTTAAGCACCAAGACAGCGGGGGGGGGACGCTGAGATAAGCCATACAGTTGCTAACTTTAATGGCAGGAAAAGTGTCAGGAGTAAGGCTGGTCTGACCGCATTCCCACAGTGATCCTGCACTTTCCAGGTACAGTATATTGTGTTTTATTGGCAGCTCACAGCAAGTGTCATGCGTCCACAGCTGTGGCTAGGAAGGGTTTGTGTGTGGAGGGCACACAGTCATCTTCCCAAACCGCTATGCTCCTCAGAGCTGGTTAGAAACAGTGGTAGGTCAGTGTGAAACTCATCATTCATAGTTGGGGCTCTTAGGCTGTATTCACTTTTTCTACCCAAAGAGATGGCGTTCTCCAACTGTTCAGACAACCTATTCAACAAATGGTGCTGGCAAAACTATGTACCCAGCTGTAGAAGAGTAAACTTAGACCAAGTCTGTCATTGCATGCAAATCAATTTAAAGTGGACCAAGCATGTTATCCAAAAACAGAGCCACCAAATCTTTCAAAAGCATAAGGGTATGCGTGAGGTTATAGGACAAGAGTTCCTGAATGGGACCCCAACAGCACAGGGCCCAGTCCCAGGAATCCATAAACAGGACAACTGAATTGAAAAGTTTCTGTGAGCCGGCTGGTGCCACATGCCTTTAATCCCAGCACTTGGGAGCAGAGGCAGAGGCAGAGGCAGAGGCAGAGAGGCAGAGAGGCTGAGGGGCAGAGAGGCTGAGGGGCAGAGAGGAAGAGGGGCAGAGAGGCAGAGGGGCAGAGAAGCAGAGGCAGAGGCAGAGGCAGAGGGGCAGGGGCAGAGGAAGAAGCATCTCTGTGAATTCGAGGACAGCCTGGTCTACAGATCTACAGAGTTAGTTCCAGGACAGCTAGTACTACACAGAGAAACCCTTTCTTGGGGAAGAAGAGTTCCTGTGAAATAGGGGAAACCGCCTATTTGCTCAGTGAGCAAATGGCCTACAGAAGGGGAGACCATGTCTACCAGCTGTCTGCCAGGCAGGGAGTATGATAGCTAAAATAAACTAAAAACTGCAAAAAAAGACCCCAAGATCATAAAATTACTGATCAATGAATAACTAATGGAATGAATAGACAGGTCTCAGAAGAAATGCCAATGGTCATCGAACAGTTGTTTTTTTTTTTTTTAATGTCCACAATGTCAGCCATTGGGGAAGTGTAGATTAAAACCACTTGGAGATTCTGTTCTATCTCATCTCACAAACCACAGCTAACACTAGTGAGGCAGTGGGGAGGGAGGAGCCCTTGTCCGTGCATTCTTCCAGGGAAACCCAAGGCCAAACATCAGAGCAAGCGCCCAGCAATGTCTTTCGAGGTTGGGGCATGATGATGGGAATTAACTTTGCAGTTGTTATTTTGGCTGTACATATACAACGTTGTGCTATTCATAAGTCACGACAGATCCCATGTTTTAAGAAGATCATACACAGAAATCTCTTGTCAATCGCATGTGTGGCGATACAGCATGTGACAGCTGGGGTAGAACCCTGGTTACATGGTCCACTGTAACAGCTTGTCTTAGTCAGGCCCATGCATGCACTTGGACGGGGAGTTTTTGTATGAAGAGGAGGAGGGACCCCAATGAGAAAATGGTGGGCTGCACTGCAGACAGCTTTTAGGTCACCTCTGATCTTTAGGGAAAGCCTCCTCCCAGGACTGTGCTCCCTACATCCTCACATGGGTGTTATTCTTGGGCTGTTGTTTAGGGATGGTCATGATCAGGGCAGGGACACCAATGTCCAATGTTTAAAAACAACTTCCTTGGGAAGAGGAACAGTCTGGAGAGCCCACTGAGGAAGGGCATGGAGCAACAAACTCCAGGAGTGGTGTCCTCATTGTAGAAGTATCTAAACAAAACAAAGCCAAAAAAACAAACAGTCACAAAACTGGCCGAGTGGAATAATAATAATAATCCTGGGGCCACTATTTCTTCTAGAAGAAGAAAGAGCCTTCAGGTTTGGATGGGCTTGTATTGACTACAGGGTAGGAAGGCAGAGGCCAAGGGCCACAGAGGATGTGTTTCCTTCCTCCTGGTAATTGTTTGGGCAGTTGCTGCACACTCGCACACCAGGGTCTGCAGGAGGTGGCTGCTAAGAACAGTCTCTCCATATAAGCACATGGGAAAAGCTACCTATCTTGATAATGGCGTTTCTGAACTTATTAGGTGTCATTTTCCACTGAGTAATACACCGTCTGCTCTGCTACATGTTTGCAGCACACAGGTTTTGAAGTCAAGCTGTTTATAGCAGGGCATCCTTTGGTGAAGCATCTTGGCTGAGAATTGGTTGTCCCATCTTACCCTTACCTGTTTGGAAGCATTGTAGGGATTGGTGACAAGTTAAGAGTCTTAGCATTGCCCTAGATTAATAGTGATTTCTCAACAAATGGTGGTAGCAGTAGCAATTGTTATTCTTTGTGTATGTCTTATTAGAAACACTAACCATTTAGAGAAATAATGAAGATTCTTATTTAATCAAGGCCTAGCCAGGAAGTGTTCATACCCATCCAGAGTAGAAAGCATGGGTGTGGATCTTGTAACTGAAAATTACTGTTTTTTAATAGAAGGATTTATCATGCATTTATTTATTTGCCCCCAAAATGCTTTGATTCATGCTAGACGCTGAACTACATACTCATAAAATGGGGATCAACACAGACACAGTCACATGGGCAGGATTCTGGCTTCACAGAGCTTGTAGTTAGGGTTGGTGCCCTTGAGCACTCTCTAGGGCTCTGTAGATAGCTCTGCTTGAACTCTTAGAACAAAAAGCTCCTACCAGAAGCCCCCATTTGTAGACCTTATCCTCTCAGGATGTCTCCCATCTCAAGAGTTTTGGGAAGTGAATGCTTACTGTGTTGGGGGTAGGGAGCTGTCTCTAGTTTGATTCTAAATAAACCACGAGGCATGAACAGGCCGTGGCAAATTTAGGCAAGGAAGCCTTCTGCACCTTCAGGATCCGAGACATTTCCGGTGTATTCTGGGAGGACTGAGAACCACTTAATATAGATATCCTGTAAATTCCACTCTCCCCGCATGTGCTTACCGGATTGTTATGGAAGCATGTTCTTCTGTCTATGAAGTGAGACTCAGAGAAGGAAAGAGAGCAGCTCTCCCCTTCCATCTCCCTACCCCACCTCCTGCCCCCAGCCACCCAGTCCATCTGTCCTTACCCCCATCTCCTAGAAAATCTTTGGCTTAAAACTGGGCTTAGAATTTAAACTTGGAAAGGTTCAAGCTGCAGCATACTTGAGACCTTTTCAGTGAACACTTGGGTGCCACCCTAATGTCACTCTGTCACCTACTATGCATTCATCGCTCTACCCAGCCACTGACTCTTTCCCTTGTTGCTTTACAAAGTCGTTTTGGCTTTTTTGACCCAAGTCACTTTCAAGATAACGGGGTGGCCTTGTAAAGAGTCGTTTATGTCCTTTCCATCAACCTCTGCCAGTTCCTAGCTCGCCAAAAGCAGCCACATGGTTCCTGTTTACCACCATGGATTGGTTTTCCTAGTTCTAGAATTCCGGGGAAGGGGTATTGTAACACGTTCTCTTCCTTATTAGCTTTTTAGAAATCACGTCTTATGTTTTAAAGTGACCCTATAGAAGGGTTGGAGGGCTGGCTGGCAGTTAAGAGCACTTGCTGCTCTTGCAGAGGATCTGTATTTGGTTACCAGCACACATGGTGGCTTACAAACATCTACAACTCTAGATCCAGGGGATCAGATGCCCTTTTATGACCCCTGAGGGTACCTGGAAAGTATGTGATGCACATACGTACACGTAGGTAAAACATCCATACGCATAAAGTAAATATTTTTTAAAAATGGAGGATTTGGAGTTGCTCTATATTATTGACTGTTTCAGTAGTGCAGTTTGATTGCCACTGTCTTACTCCATATTGACTATGCTGTGGTTCGTTTCTCCATTTTCCTGTTGAGGGACATCAGACTGCGTCATCAGGGGATAATGTAAACAAAGCCACATGGGTCCTCTTATCTGTGTCCTCAGTAAATAAATGTTTTAATTACTTCAGGATATACTCAGACTGAAATTGTTTTGTAAACCAGAGCTGCATACTTAGCTTTATAAAGTACAGCCAAACTGTGTGTCCCACTTTACACCCCCTCCATAATGCACGAGAGCTGCCATCAGTCTAGACCGGGGTTTGGTGGAGACTGGAGGATGAATACTTCGGGCATACTCTGCCATTCTATGAAGAACTGCAAATTTCAAAGTTTCTCTGGAGAAGCAACTTTTGACTTTCTGAATTTTTTTTACATGTTAACGTTTGTTTTCTATCTCCTTAAATTTCCACACATCTCTATTCTTTCATTCCATTTATTTTGAGTTTAATTTACTCTTCTTTCACATCCTAATTAGGTTGCCTCACTTACCTCTAAATTTTTCAAACAGCATTTTACTCTATGAAAGCTTTCCCAGCACCACTTTAGACACACCCCATCTATCATATAATTAATTTTATGTCATTACTGTGAGTTAAAATAATTTTCCCTTAGTGATTTATCCCCCACTGAAGGCATTGTGCATTGCTTAATTCTCAAATCTGTAGCAAGCTCCCCAGATGTATTTTAGATTGATTTCTACTTACATTCCAATTTTAGATATAGTATACTTTATGGTTTTCAATCCTATTAGTTTTATTAAAATCTATTGTATAGCCAGTATGTAATTTATCATGGTAAGTAGTCCATGGACATATGAAAGAATGTGTATCCTAAATTATCTGGTTAAGTGACTGTTTTCTTCTCCACCGCCTTTATTTTCCCCCTTTCATGCTCTCTTTTCTCCTCCTCCCTTCCCTCTTTCTTCCTTATAGCATAACCCAGGCTGGCCCAAACCTGTCATCCTCCAGTCTCAGCCTCCCAAGGGCTGCTTCCATCATGTGCAGCAGCAGGTCAAGT